TTATATCGCCCAAATAATCGCAAGTCACTGAAGTCACAAATGCAAAATTTTTGTCGCATAATTGATCCTAAAATCGTCCAATATAACGAGGAACAAATTGAATAGCCCGTTTTATTATAAAATATGAATTTATACGCATATATGGAGATAGTTAAGGGCAGTTTATAGAAATTAACAGAATATGTTGTCATTCAATCAGCTCTTGAGCCTAAACGGCTTTCTTTAGCAGAAATATGCTCGGAACATTTCTTGTAGAAAATTTCTTCATCTTAAATTTTTATATCTTCATATTTTTTCTAAAAACGCACCGTTTTGGAGATATTTTCAAAAAAACCGTTTTTGAGCGCCATCTTGGCAAGATGGCGGCGCCGGCGGCATGTCCCGGAATGTGCATTTTGTGAATTTTAGTTCTGGACACCCAAAACTATAATCCTACAAAGTTTCAAAACTTCCGGACTTTTTTCCAGGTAAGCCTTATTTTGGATCCCCAATGACTGAACTATAACTTGCATTCCTGAACCAATCTTTGACAATAAGAAATATGTGACCAAATTAATAAGAACATATAATGACATAGAAAAATTTCGAACTGAATTGGAAATAATGAATTTCAATATCAATAATTACAATAATCTTGATGGAACATATGAGGTAATTATTAGACAGAGGTGTGATTTGATCATAATGTCAGTAATTTCATCAAATTACGTGACAAATTCCATCATGAAAGAAAAAATCACCCAAATATAAATTATTTCAAAGATCAATATGATTTCGATAATAACTTGGTGAACCAAACAATAAGGGAATCAAAAAAGAAATTTTATGATAACCTTTTTTTTCAATAGAACTCCGAAATCAGTTTGGAATGGAATCAATTCACTCTCATACAATAAATCAAAGAATCAGACCGATAATATCGAATATATCACATTGAATAATATCAAAATTGAAAGTAGTCATCAGATGAGTGATGAAATTAATAATCTCTGTTGAATGTTGGTCCAAATTCATCTTCGAAAATACCTTCAATTTCTGAAACATTGAACGATTGTTCAAATGTTTCATCTATATTCTTAACACCAACAAATATTCCAGAAATTGAAAATATAGTCGATAACTTGGATGTACGGAAATCTTGTGGATTTGATTGCATAACTGTGAAAATTGTAAAAATAATCAAATCTGAATTAACTACCATCTTGTTGAAAATTTTTTCCAAATCTTTTCAAACTGGTATTATTCCTGACAAAATGAAAATTGCTAAAGTATTGCCAATACACAAAACTGGTGAGAAAGACGATATGAATAATTACAGGCCAATATCTGTCCTCTCTATTCTTTCTAAAATTATAGAAAAAATCATGAATAATCGTCTTTTTGACTTCCTCGAAAATAACAATCTATTGTACAGTGGTCAATATGGATTTCGTACGTCAAAGGATACAGAGATAGCTGAAATTATGGATGTAATTTTGGACATCCAGTCACGGATTGACGAAAATTATACAGGGTGTTTCATGAGAAGACTCACATAGCCAAATGGTTAATAGGGGAAATCAAGACGAGTTGATGTATATATATTGAAAACATTTTTTGCCCCTCCATAACGAAGATGTGAAATTGTTACATAACTTTGATGGCCGATATTACAGAAATGATTCATCGTAATCTGCTGGAATTTGGCAGCGACGTATCTCTACTGGAACTATTCGAGATAACATATTATGAAAAAAAATATCCAGGTCCAGACTTGGAAAAATTCCATGTTTCATTGTTATGTCAAAAAAGTTCACTTTGTGACCACTTTTCTCGAAAAAATCTATCAGAACCAGAAAGATCAGACAAAATGCTATAAGAACTGCTCTTCGATCTACACGGCACACTTTGACCGGTTCAATTGAAAAATATGGAACAAAATCGTTCGAATGAATTTTCAATTTCGACCTGGCTGATAACTCTCACCTTTCAACTGGATTCGTGTGAAATGTTTTTTTTTTTTACTTTTTCATTGGATAAAAATTGACAGAAGGGAGTAGTTCTGATTTTTTCATGATTTGACATGTTAGTTTTTGACCGAATTCCAAGATAGATATATGATTACTCGTGACTCAATTTAATAAATTTGTTATAAAGTTGTACATGTTTTTATTTTATGTGACGGTTTGATTCCTGGTTTACCATAGATTTCCATTTGTAACATTGCCAGCTATAACCCAATGGGCACAGGTACATTGAATCAACGTTTATTCAACTTTGGGTTGAAAATCGTTACTCGTTGATTAAATAACACAAATTCGACGTGATTACCTAACAATTTGTTGATAAATATATTGGAAATACGTATTTTTCCATTTTATCAAAACTATTGATTGAAAAAAACGTTTCTTCCTGCTACGTTTTTACAGATATTCGACGAATACTTACTAAACCATTTTTCAACGTTTTTTCGACGTATACATGCCCATTGGGAAAGTGCATGTTGCTACTGCCATGTTTTTCAATTATCAGTAACTCAGCAGGACTTTTTCACACAATTTTATATCTCCAGAAGGTGATTTGTTTAATGAAAGGAAATCTGTACTCCAGGAAGAGTACTAAGAAACTGAAAATTACTTCCTTGATTCAACTCTCACTATAGTTTGTTCATTTCATAGATGTTTTTTTTTTAAACAATAACTAAGTTTATATATAGGCACGAGATGATTCCAAAAACTATCGAAAAGGCATCGAAATCTGCTTGAAAAATTATAGACAATGCTAGATTGGTTTATTGATCACCTTCGGGAAGGTTCGAAAGTTCGACACCAGAGGCCACACACTTTATGATTTTCACGAATTGTTATATGATCTGAGTATACAGTGTGTTACAATTTGGTCCACCAAACCCCTGTACTTTCATAATCCTAGATTGATTTGATTTTTTTTATAATATACTCAAAATTATCTACTTCGTCGAGCAAAAAAAATATCAATCACAATAACTTCAGCGGAATTAAAGAAAATTGGCAATCGATTCGGACTAGTCACGAAAACTCCTACATCCATTTTCAAAAAAATATACCATAAGGGTTTTTTATCAACGTTACAATTTTTGAATGATTGTATTTTTCAAGTCAGGTAGATCATCTGGCTACAAAGTTAGATAAGTTACGAATGAAAAAAATAGAAATTATGATTCTCTATCAAGAAATAAAAAGTTAGTTTTTGCATCTCATCAATTTTTCAGTACTTGCTGCACTGATTTCCGAAATCCTATTACTGAGGTTATAATACATTCAGATTTGAAAATAATTACACAATCACAATACTAGCTGTAAGGATAAGATCATCTGATGGCTACAGAGTTAGGAAAATAATGTATAAAATCAATGGAAATTTTGATTTTTCATTGAGGAACAAGAAGAAAGAGAAAAAACTGAATACAAAATATCTATTCAAAAATAACATGAACAAATCAGCGATTATTTCTAACAAGTTCAGATTTCTTTATTCTCGATCAAATAACCTTTATTCTCTATTCTCTATACACTTTTCATATCTCTTTCAACTCTCCTCAGTTCTTGTGGTGTTATCTTTCTGCAAAATATTCTTTTTTGTCACAATTGTTTTCTATTTCTTGACCTGAAGTAAAATGATGGTGATTATGATCATGGGTTGTGAAGGCGCAAAAAACTCGCAAAAAAATAATGACAAGGAGAAATGTTTTCTGTAATTGTTCAATTCTGATGAATCCTAGTAATTGGAAATCGTGTGAAAGCTGTGGAAATGAATTACGCTTCGCTTTTCTCAAACAACTTTGACAGCTAATATTGTCTTTGGTATTGTGTAATCATTTTAGAATCCGAATATATTACAACCTGAGTAATAGAATATTGAAAACTAGTGGAGCGAGTGGTGAAAAATTGATTTCCGTCGACCTCGTATTAACGACTAAGTTTAATGTATATGAAATCGTTCATTAATGACCCCTATTAATGAACGATTTGTCTATTAATAGACGATTGTTTTATATGCAACCAAACATACACCGCGTGCATTCATTGTATATGCTATAACTTACGGAATCTGCATTTAAATCGAAAATATGGATTTCATCGACGATTTTCCGTTAACGGGTTCGCCTTTCCAAGTTTCTGACATGATATTAATCCCTGTTTTCTAACACAAGGCATTCATTTCCTATGTTGATCATTTCGACAAATGTCAAATGTGTCTAATGTCAGTAACAAGACTACTGGGTGATTCTTAGCAGTTTCCGGATGGATGATGAATTCGCGAACCAAGTTTTCTTCATTGCAGGAGAAATGAGAAATATAGTCGACGGAAAAATTTTGTAACCAACTTGTATATTAAAAGGCGATTAATGATCTCGAACATTAACGCACTCGCTTCGCTCGCACGTTAAAATATCTCGATCATTAATCGCCCTCATTAATACACTAGTTGGTTAAATAACTATTAGATGCGAAAATTCACTTTTTATTCATTGATAAAAAATCTGAATTTCTAGTGATTTTATTCGTTATTTATCTCACTCTGTAATCAGATGATCTACCTAAATACAATCATGCCTGGTAGCATTCGAATTCTCATAAAAATAATTATACACGGTGACTTGAAGAATCCAATTATTCAAAAATTGTGATGTTAATAAAAAACATCCCTTATGATAAATTGTTTTGAAAATTGATATAGGAGTATTTGTAACTAGTCCGAATCGATTGCCATTATCAAAATTATTGTTTGTTTGTTTCAATTTTGCTGCAGTTTCTGTGCTCGCAGTAGGGTAAGAAGTTTTTCTGCTCGAAATAGTAGATAATTTTATGTAGAATATTTTGAAAGAAGAAAATTTTTCAAATCACTCTAGGATTATGAAAGTCCAGGGCAGGGGTTGGGTTGGAGGAAGGGTGGGGTGGACCAATTTGTAACACACTGTATGTACCTTATATACTGGAACTTTTTCAGAACAACAGAAAAAATGGCCAATAACGACGCAGAACGCAGTGGAACGGACTACCAGCTGAAGGTTTTTGGACTGATCGCTCTAGAGGCCATTTCATTACAAGATGAAAAATGGGAATTATCAACAGAGAATGAGAATGCAGGAAAATTTGATGATGTTGTTTTCGAAAGTGGAGATGGTGGAATAGATATTTTGATACAATGCAAACATAAAAAAGGAATGAAAGAATCAAAGGCTCTGGTACTCGATTGGAAAACCCTCCTTCCGGAATATTACAACTCCTATAAGATGAAAATCTGTAAGTCATTCAAACGGAAGCTATTGATGATATTATGCTCAAATATTGGTCCTTCGGATGGTGATTTTCTTGAACCCAAGAAGATTGCTATAGTTCCCGGAACGAACAAATCTTATCAATTCAAAAGCTCAAAAATTCAAGAAATTCAAAAAATATTGAATGCATTCGATGATCATTCCCTGAAATTTTGTGAGGAATTTAGGTTTCTTCATATCGACGATTCCGCAATAGAAGATGGTATTGAAAACAAAGTAGAAGAAGCACAGAAAATTTTTGGTTTGAGATTTTCTAAACTTCATTTTAAAGAGAAAATAGACGAATTACTTCAGGGAAAACTGCAAAAAGAAAGACGTATCAAAAAGTCGCACGTTATAGCTTTTTTATACGACTCGCGAAGTCAGGATTACCTGGAAAAACTAGATTCTTTTGAAATAGACTTCAAGGAATTATATGCCTTTGGTGGAAATCAAATAATCAATATTGTATCAAATTATCATTTCTTAAATATACTCAAGATCCATAGAAGCTTACTGAGAGTTCATAGCCCCAGCAAAAACGACCAACTTTACAAAAAAGATCAACTTCTGTTCATCGATCCAAGTGTTGGAAGTGAAATTCTGGACAAAATAATAGCATCATTTGAGCTTCCTGTATACTGCATACTTGTCGTTTCCCTCAGAAACTCTGATCAATTTCGTATAATTCAATCCCGTATAAATGATATATTAAATAGACAACAATACAAGAAAGTCATAATTTTGTCAGAAGTCCCAATACAGGATGATGTAATTCAGGATGAAATAAAATTTACTGATTTAATAGAAGCATGCCAAACTGCCCTTTTGTCGAAAGCAGTTAATTTTCAAGGAAAAGATCTGCCAATCAAAGAGCTCATGATTAATTCATTGAATAACATTGATTTTATAATAGACCAGGCAACTATCATCAACTTGATAAATGATGAAAATATCACAATAGGTACAGCCATTAGAGACTTGGGTGCAATTGAGAATTATTACATAGAGAGAAAATTTCAAACAGAGATCAAAGTACAAGATGAAAAAACCAAAATTGAAGAGAAAACGAAAATAATCAAACACAGAAAAAAGGAATTCACAGAACAAGATGTCTGCAATTTCGTTGGTCAACATGGAAAATTCGTTTTAATTTCTGATGGAGCAGGAAAGGGCAAAACTACTGTCCTAACTAAACTTGGGTATTTAATAAAGAAAATATATCCCAGTTCTTTCCTCATAAGAATTGATCTGAATATGTTTACCAGCATATTTAAAGAATTTCAAACAGCGAGTAAGAAATCAATTAATTTAGAAGAGATACTACAGTCAAAAGATAAGAATTATTTTAAAAATAGTTTAGAACAAAATATTTTCTCAAATACAAAAAACATCATCCTGATGGTCGATGCTGTAGATGAAATAAGTCCGGACTACACTAGTCTAGTTAACAATTTTATGCTTCAAACGTCTGAACGTAAAAATATTTCTAAAATATTTGTTACAACTCGTCCTCATTTAACGAAGGATTTGGAATCCTTCCTGAAAACTAGATCATATCGACTACTTCCATACTCAGAATTAGAACAAACTGACTTTCTTATGAAATACTGGAAGCAGAACCTCATAATAGATGATGATGAAAAGCTAACTAAATGTGAGATTTATGCTGAAACATTGATAAGCAAACTAGGAAATTCGATAGGATACACCTCTTGGAATTTCATAGGCATTCCACTCCAGACAAGAATGATTGCGGAAATATTTCAGGGCTCTGATGACAAGAAATACCAGTGGGTGTGTTGTAAAGATTTTTTACTATCTGAAAATAAGACCTTGGAATTACCAGATAAGATAAACATAACTGAATTATACGATATGTTTGTGGAGAAGAAAAGGGATATCTTCATCGGAGATAAATGCGATACTCAAGGAAATGTTATCCTGAAGGAGGCAGTTTTGAAACAATATGAAGACGCTAAAAATGAGCATCAAAAACTTGCTGCTCGATTATTACTCAATGATCACCAATATTCATTGATGAATGTTTCCAGAACCGTTAATAATATCTCCAAGGAAACTATCATCAAAATGGGAATGTTACAAGAAATTGGAGACGAGTTATTGTTTGTGCATCAAACATTCGCTGAATATTTTTTGGCTAAGGCAATGTGGGTACAATTGAAAGAAATTGCAGAACGCAACAAATTTGTGATTTTCCTTTTGAAAGACTTGTTTATAGACACGAAATTTGAAATGATCAGAGCTTTTTTGGAGGGCATCCTCACCAACGAATACTCCCAAATCCCAATGAGGGTTTTTGAAATTTGCGGTTCAACATTTGACTCTATAACTTGGGATCACTACAACAAAATGAACATTTTAGTAAGAGAAGGCCGCAAAAATATTTTGAAACTAATACTAGAGAAGAGTAAAAATAATAAATCTTTTCTTCATATCCATAATTGTTTATCTGATTTAATTTTATTAAGAGATGCCCTTGAATTTCAAGAAATAATAGAGTTTTTATTGCACAAGGGAGCAGATGTGAACGGAAGGGATGGATATGGTCGTACAATCCTACATTATGCAGCCGAGAAGTGCAAAATAGAATTAGTAAAATATCTTGTCAGTAGAGGGGCCACAATCCATGTTGCAGACAGAAAAGGTTACACCCCATTCCACTTAAGTGTGAAAAAGAATTCCACAGAGCTGTTCTTCTATTTTATCGAAAATGGTGCTGATGTAAAAACGAGAGCTGAAGGAGAAACTTCTCTACACTGTGCTGTGGAAAATAAAAATTTTGAAATGGTCGAAGAACTGACAAGAAGGGGTGTCAATATCCACGAGAGAACTTATTATGGAGCCACAGCTCTGCACATCGCAGCAACGGTGGGCAAGGTCAATATACTGAAACATTTGTTGGAAGAAGGAGCCAGAGTGAATGTTCTGGCAAAAAAAAAAAGGAAAAACGATTTATTTCATCCACCAAGTGGAGGTGATGTTAATATCCAATATAACGACGGTGAAACTCCTCTTCATTGTACAGCATATGGGGGTCATTCAGATTGTTTGAAAATCTTAGTAGATATTGGAGCTGATGTTAATATCCAGGATAACAAAGGCACTACTCCTCTCTATTGGACAGCACGTCAGGGTCATTCAGATTGTTTGAAAATCTTAGTAGATAGTGGAGCTGATGTTGATATCCAGGATAACAAAGGCACTACTCCTCTCTATTGGACAGCACGTCAGGGTCATTCAGATTGTTTGAAAATCTTAGTAGATAGTGGAGCTGATGTTGATATCCAGGATAACATAGGTAGTACTCCCCTCCATTTGGCAGCATATCGTGGTCATTTAGATTGTTTGAAAATCTTAGTAGATAGTGGAGCTGATGTAAATATCCAAGATAACTACAGTACAACTTCTCTACATTCTGCAGTAAATTGGAGTCATTTGAATTGTTTAAAAATCTTAGTCTGTAGTGGAGGTGATGTAAACGACGGTAAAACTCCTCTCCATTGGACAGCACGTCAGGGTTATTCAGATTGTTTGAAAATCTTAGTAGATAGTGGAGCTGATGTTAATATCCGGGATAACGACGGTGAAACTCCTCTCCATTGGACAGCACGTCAGGGTCATTCAGATTGTTTGAAAATCTTAGTAGATAGTGGAGCTGATGTTAATATCCAGGATAACAAAGGTAGTACTCCTCTCCATTGGGCAGCAGATCAGGGTCATTTGAATTGTTTGAAAATCTTAGTGGAGAGTGGAGCTGATGTTAATATCCACAATAACGAAGGTAAAACTCCTCTATATTCTGCAGCATTTCGGGGTCATTTGAATTGTTTGAAAAACTTAGTGGATAGTGGAGCTGATGTTAATATCCCGAATATAAAAGGTAACACTCCTCTCCATTGGGCAGCATATTGCGGTCATTTGGATTGTTTGAAAATCTTAGTGGATAGTGGAGGTGATGTTAATATAAAGAATAAACGAAGATATAGTGTATTAGATATTGCAATTCTTTCAAAACAAAAAGAAATAGTGAAATATATGCATGATAGACCAATTAATGGGAAATGGTGGAAAATGTATATCGTCGGCTTACTATCAAAACCTCGTGAGTCCGAATTCTAGGGAATTTTAGGTTTGAACATTTTCACCATCCACCATCTACGATATTCAGCGCACCCATCACAAAATCATCGTGAGTCTATGTTTTTGGTTGCGACATCTATTAGATATAATTTAAACCTCCTAAATCTACTCTGAGAGATTTTGAACTCAAAAACTCGTAAGTCTGCAAGAGAGAATAGGGTTAATTTGCGCTTGTTGAGAAAGTATAAATCTATTAGTTGATTCATTATTTGAGCTGAAATCCATGTCAGACAACAAAGTAAGTTTATGATGAACTATTTGGTCAATCTTCTAGAATATTTCTGCAGTGATGCGAAGGACAATCTTGTTTTGATTCTTCACGTGAACAGAGGTTCTGATCTGTATGTTATCTATTTAGTAGAGGACTCAAGAGCTTTTGAGAAGAAGTTATGGATATTTATATAATTTCATTCTATTCATTCCAAATGAAGACATTGATTGACATATTTCGGTTCATTATTGTTGAACCCATATTTCTCATTGTTATCAAAACTGCCGCAGATTTGCTACATGCACTGTGAAGCAAGGCCAAAGTAAAAGACAATTTTCACTAGTAATTGATCGAAATCAATTCAGTCTGAATAATGTTCAATCATTAAATCATTTCAGAGAAGAATTGAATTTTCAATATTCAAGTATATTTTTGCTCAACACAAATAATAACAATTTTATTTGACATACTTATCACTATTTTCAAGAATATATTTCTTTCGCAAAAGTATGTCTGATTCATTTGAGTAATACGTCCAAGATAAGGTTGAACAGCATGGGGATCTCGAAAATGGTAGGAGATACGAAGTCGGTTAAATGAGGAAAAAGTTGCGCATTCGGAGGCGCATATCAAGAGCCTTCGAAAATTTTTAAAATTATTTTTAGTATTTTAGTCATATCGAAAAAAGTGAATTTTTGGAATATCTATTTTATTTTTTTTCTCCGTTATTATTAGAGATACTGAAAAACTGAAAATACTTTTGCATAGCAACTTTTGATGGCGTTTAACGTGGTGATACCAATTTTTCTATGCGACGTTTCGTTTTCGTAGAACCATCATCAACTTTCGTTTTTTAAATACAGTCCTGATAATTTTTTCACAGATTCTGAAAGGTTTTTTCATTTTGAATTCAACCATGTATTATACAAGGTGGTTTATGTGTGTTTCGACCTTTTTTTTCCATCATCAATGTTTTTTCGAAACACCAAAGGAAAAATGCCATCAGTTCCACTTATTTTGAAGAAAAATTAGTCAACACACTAATACCTCATCAACTGGTTTCAATCAACAACCCATTTCATTTTGCGGAAACAAAAAATTATATGTCAACCGCTAAAACCAGGCGATGACGAAAGGCGCAGGACATTCTGTGAGTGGTTTACCAGGAAATGTCAAAATTTTACAGATTTCCCGCGAACAATCATCTGGACTGATGAAAGCATGGTCACTGATCATGGTATCTTCGATAGAAAAAATACACATTATTGTTCACGAGAAAATGAACATTTATACATTACAGCGAGACACCAACACCGTTTCGGCTTTAATATGTGGGTACACGAATTATTGGTCCTTTTATTCACCATGAAACACAGACTTCCTAACGTTATAGAAACCTATTTGAGAATCATCTTGAGGAAGCTCTGGATGATTTACCGATTGCGGAAGTTCACAACTGTTGGTTTCAACAAGATGGCGATCCGGTACATAATTCCAGAGAAGTTCGTGCGTTTTTATCCAGAAAAATGGATTGGTACCCATTCTGCAGTTCCTTGGCCGGCGCGGTCACCTGATTTGACACAGCTGGATTTTTTTTAGGGGATATATCAAAAACTTTGTACACGCAAATAGCTTTGATGATGAAGAAGAACTAAGGGACAGTGTCATCGAAGCATTCAATAGAATTACCCCAGAAATGCTTAGTAATGTCTTAGAAGCAACTGTGAGAAGAGGATATCTTTGTTCAGAAAATAATGGTTATCATTTTGAACATTTGTTATGAATGTTTCTGAAGGTATTGTCAAAGTTAAGTTGTTGAAGTAATCCATGTAAGAATTCATCAACAATTTTAAGCACTGCATTGAATGAATGATGTAGTGAAATATTTTTTATTCATTTTTCAGTATTAAATAACTAATCCATCAATGTTTGACAGTAAATGATGAGAAATAAATAGAACTGATGGCACTTTTCCTTTGGAAATTCGAAAAAACATTGATGATGGATAGAAATAGGTCGAAACACATTGGAATCACCTTGTAAAATACATGGTTGATTTTAGAATAAAAAAACCTTTCAGAATCTGTGAAAAAATTATCAGGACCGTATTTGAAAAACAAAAGTTGATGATGGTTCTACGGATACGAAACGTCGCATAAAAAAATCGGTATAACCACGTTAAATGTCATCAAAACTTGCTATGCAAAAGTATTTTCAGTTTTTCAGTATCTCTAATAATAACGGAGAAAAAAAATAAAATAGATATTCCAAAAATTCACTTTTTTCGATATAACTAAAAAACTAAAAATAATTTTGAAAATTTCCGAAGGCTCTTGATATGAGCCTCCGAATGCGCAACTTTTTCCCCATTTAACCCACTTCGTATCTCCTACCGTTCTCGAGATCCCCATGATGTTCAACCTTATCTTGGACAGACTGTATACAGGGCTATTCAAATTTGAGTCTATGTATGGGGATTTCGATAACGGTGAGAGATAGAGGGGTGGTTAAATGGGGCAAAGTTGTTTGTTTCAGAAGTCAGTTATATGGATAAAAAATCTAATCTAGCTTCTTTAGTTCTGGAGTTGAACAAGAAAAATCGAAAACTGCTAATTCCTTTTTTTGTCAATCTTTTTATTTTACGAAGATTTTCTCAAGATTTTGCCACTTGCCATCGTATTTGAACATTAAAAGTTGAGGGTGGCTCAATGGCCGATAGACTGATAATGAATTATTGGCATTCAATTACTCCACTGTGTCGTAAGGGACTTCTCACGCTCTTTTAATGTACACAATGAGCCTATGCGTATTTCAAAATTGTTGAATTTCAGAGCTCATTTAAACGTACCACCATTTGGTGACGTCATTTTTAAAGCTGTTTCGTTATTGGTCGGATAATCTTCCATACCCACTCATGAAGCAAGGTTGTCAAGTCACCAATTATAATCAAGTTATCAAAAAGATATTACAGTCTTGTCACTCCTGTCGTTGAATAGAACACGATATAAAC